GGATTAGTGTAATACTGGCTTCATAAGATGTGTTTGGCAGTTTTCCTTCCTTTTCTAGTTTGTGGAACAGTTTAAAGAGGGTTCGTGTCAGTTCTTCTTTAAAGGTCTGATAGAATTCAGCAAAGAATCCATCAGGTCCTGGATTTTTCTTTTTGGGGAGACTCTTGGTTGCTGCTTCAATTCCATTTTGTGGTATAGATCTACTCAGGTGATTAATATCCTCTTGGTTCAGTTTTGGATGATCATATGTATCTAGAAATCTGTCCATTTCTTTAAGATTTTTGAATTTGTTTGAATATAGGTTCTCAAAGTTGTCTCTGATGATTTTCTGGACTTCTATGGTGTTTGTTGTTATCTCCCCTTTTGCATTTCTGATTATACTAATTTGGGTTTTTTCTCTCCTCATTTTAGCAGGTTTGCCAGGGGTCTGTCGATCTTGTTTATTTTTTCAAAGAACCAACTTTTTGTTTCATTAATTCTTTGTATGGTTTTTCTGGTTTCTATTTCATTGATTTCAGCTCTTATTTTATTATTTCTCTCCTTCTATTTGTTTTGGGATTTGCTTGTTGTTTTTCTAGGAGGTTGAAATGTATCATTAGGTCATTGATTTGAGGTCTTTTTAATATATGCACTCATGACTATAAAATTTCCTCTCAGGACTGCCTTTGTTGTGTCCCCTAGGTTCCGGTAGGTTGTGTTTTCATTTTCATTGACTTCCAGGAACTTTTTAATTTCCTCTTTTTCCTCATCAATGACCCATTGTTCATTAATCAATGAGTTATTCAGTTTCCATCTGTTTGCATGTTTTTTGTCTTTACTTTTGTTGTTGAGTTCTAGTTTTAATGCATTGTGATCAGATAGAATGCATGGTATAATTTCTATTTTCTTATATTTGCTGAGGCTTGCTTTGTGCTCTAGGATATGATCTATTTTGGAGAAGCTTCCATGGGCTGCTGAGAAGAATGTGTACTGTGTAGAAGTTGGATGAAATGTTCTGTAGACATCAACTAGGTCCATTTGATCTAGTACATTTTAGATCTAGGATTTCTTTATTGATTTTTTTGTTTGGATGACCTATCTATTGATGATAATGGGGTGTTAAAGTTTCCCACAACCACTGTGTTGGAGTTAATGTATGTTTTAAGTCCTTCAGAGTATGTTTGATGAAATTGGGTATGTTGACATTGGGTGCCTATAGGTTGATAATTGTTATTTCCTTTTGGTCTATTTCCCCTTTATTAGTATGGAATGTCCTTTATCTCGTTTGATCAATGTAGGTATTTTGTCAAGTATTGCTACTCCTGCCTGGTTTTGGGGGGCATTGGCTTGGTAAATTTTCTTCCAGCCTTTCATCTTAAGCCTATGCTTATTTCTGTCAGGAGATGGGTCTCCTGTAAGCAATAATTTGTTGGATCTTCCTTTTTAATCCATTTCATCAAATGGTGCCTTTTGATGGGGGAATTAAGTCCATTAATGTTAAGTGTCAGTACTGATAGGTATTTGGTGATTCCTGTCATTTAGTTGTCTTAGTTGTTTGACGGTTTGATTGTGTGTACCTAAATTGAGGTTACTCTCTACCTTCTTGCTTTTTCTTTTCCTGTAGTTTGGTGATGCCTGCCCTTTCATGGTTATGTTGGGTTGCACTTTATGTGTGCAGAATCCCTTGAAGAATCTTTTGTACTGGTGGCTTTGTGGTCACATATTGTTTTAGTTTCTGCTTATCATGGAAGCCTTTTATTGTTCCACCTATTTTGAATGATAGTTTTGCTGGGTAGAGTCTGGGGTTGAAGTTATTTTCATTCAGTGTCCAAAAGATCTCACTCCAAGGTCTTCTTGCTTTTAATGTTTCTGTTGAGAAGTCTGCTGTGATTTTGATGGGTTTACCTTTGTATGTTATTTGTTTTTTCTCTTTTACAGCCTTCAATATCCTTTCTCTAGTTTCTGTACTTGTTGTTTTAATGATGATATGCCATGGGGTAGTTCTATTTTGGTCTGGTCTGTTTGGTGTTCTGGAGGCCTCTTGCATTTGTATGGGAATAGATTTCTCTAGATTTGGGAAATTTTCTGTTATTATTTTGTTGAATATATTACACATTCCCTTTGCTTGCACCTCTTCTCCTTCTTCAATGCCCATGATTCTCAGGTTTAGTCTTTTGATGGAGTTGGTGAGTTCTTGCATTTTCTTTTCACAGGTCTTGAGTTGTTTAACCAATAGTTCTTCAGTTTTTCTTTTAATTACCATTTAATCTTCAAGTTCCAATATTCTGTCTTCTGTTTGTTCTATTCTGCTGGATTGGCCTTCCATTTTGTTTTGCAATTCTGTTTCGTTCTTTTTTCTGATGTTTCCATATCCTGGGTTTCTTCATCTTTAATGTCTATTTTTGTCCTGGGTTCATTTATCTCTTTATTAATCATGTTCTTTGTTTCACTTTGGTGTTTATACAGTACCTCTATGGTTTCTTTTATTTCATCTTGTGCTTTCTCAAATTCTCTATTTTTGTTGTCTTGGAATTTCATCTCTATAAAATTCTCATTGAATACCTGTAGTATTTCTTCTTTTAGATGGTTCTTGTGGGCTTCATTGGGTTCTTTGGCATAGTTTATCTTCATTTTATTGGAGTCTGGATCTGAGTATCTGTTTTCTTCATTTCCCTCTGGTTCCTGTACTAATTTTTTGCTGTGGGGAAACTGGTTTCCATGTTTTCTCTGTCTTCCTGTCATTGTCCTTGTTGTTGTTATTGTCCCTGTACTGTGTGCAATTAAGTATTTTCTAGTTTGTCATAACAACAATGGTGATATTTAGAATGGAAGGGTGAGAAGAGATGGAAAGCTAGGAAATTAAAGAAAAAGGGAATAACAAATAAAGAAACAAATAGAAAAAACAAAACAAACAAACAAAAAAAGTTGCAAAGATATGAACAGGGAGAGATAGTGTACTAATCAACAATAAGCTGAACAGGCATTAGAGAGACAGAGAGAGGATTGAAAAATGAATAAATAAATAAATGAAAAAAAATCTCTTAGTTCAAATGCAATAAAGTTTCAGTCTTAATAATTTTGGTGTGAGTCCCACAGCCTCCAATCCTGGAAATGGTGTCTCAGAAGTAGTTCTGTCCTTGTCTCATCAAAGGGGAAAATAACTAAAACAAAACAACAACACAAAACAAAACAAAAAAAACCTCAAAATGTCCCATGTTCAAATGCAATACAGTTTCAGTAAGTTTTTCAGCATGCAGGTGTAGTTCAGTTGTTGTCTCATCAAAGGAAGAGAGGAAAAAAACAGTCTGGAGACAGTTCTGTGAATGGCTATTTGAGGCGGTGGCTCACCTACCCACTGCTGTCAGCCTGCTGCTCCTGGAGGCTTTATTTATGCAGCTCTCAGGAGTGAGCTTAACACTCACCTAGCCTCTCAGGCTTTGTTTACTTAGAGTTCTCCTGGGCGCTACCACCACTGCTACAAGCTTTCCCCTTTCTAAGCACACTGTGGGAGGTGACACTGCACCAGCTTTCTCAGGCCTGCATGTTTATTTACAATTCAAATGGGAAGTGGGTCTTCCCCCCCTCCTGTGGAGTTTTCCTTCCACCACTACTTTTACAAGCTTTCCTGCTCCTGATTGCTGGGCATGTGCCACTACTCCTGCCTTCTCCAGCTGGCTTGTTTATTTGCAGCTCGCATGGGAATTAAGTCTTCCCCCCTCTCCTGTGGAGTTTTCCTCCCACTGTCACTTTTACAAGCTTTCCCGCTCCTGTTTGCTGGGCATGTGCTGCCGCTCCTGCCTTCTTCAGCTGGCTTGTTGTGAGGGAATTCCCCTTCCCCTCTCTTCGGCACTCAGGGTACCCTGCCCTCTTTGCTATGTGTCTTTTTTGTTGTTATTGCTTATTATTCAATTTTTTTTCTTTTTTCCCTGGGTTGGGGTTGGTCTGTCCAGGGGCCTATGCTGATCTGGCCCAGGATTGTCTGTGGGAGTACCACATGCCACTTAGCTCACCTTGTGGTCTGCGTCTTGCCAAGCCTTCTGGGCACTGCCATCTGGTGGTGGTGTGGGAGTCCTCCTGGTTTCTCCATTTAACGTGAAGTGGAGATGCTATGCACTGGCTGGAGGTGTGGAGGAGTCAAAGTTTTGCCTCTTTTCAGTGGTTTTTCCTGTAAAGTGTATCTCCAGTGTGTCTCCAAGATTTTACTTTAGGAAGCATGCTTTCTGCTTCCGCCCTCTAGCCATCATCTTGGAATCCTGTCTATGTATCTTTGACATATCTCCTAAATCACTACTTCCCTCCTTCCGTAGATACTTCCCTTTCCTCTTTTCCTAAAGTCTTTAGCTTTCTCACAGGAACTCACTTAGGAATTATAGAACTTTCCATCTTCATTTTTGTCTCTGAGTAAAAACTCATTTTTCCATGTCGCAAGATAAACTCGTGTCATAAGAAATTCACTTTGCTGACACCTAACATTAGAATCCTTTTCTGCATCATCTATCAAAATTTCAAAGATCACTTTAATATAGTCTTCACATTATAAATGTATTTACTTTTATGATCTCTTAATCTAACAATTCAATTTTAATATGCAATTTCAAATTTAAAACATTTATGCATTTGAGAGGTTTAATTTATATAAAAATTAAACCACTTAAGATCCAAAAGAAAATTGTGAATCCAACAGATAACTGCTTCATGTAATCCGTTGTGGTTTTTCTGAAATAACTGTTGGAGGATGTAAAACTACCATAAGTATACTTATAATTTCCATTCTTAGAAATAGACTATCTATTTTACATCTAATTATCCCTGTATGTGTTTGTAGAGAATTAGCACATCAGGGCATTCCTTCCCCTATAAATGTGTTATTGTCTTCCATATATTGGACAAAATTTACTTCTATTTATCAAGTCTATTTCCTGTGTCTATTGTTTCAATGTCTATTTTACGTTTGCCTACATATGTTACCTCATCCTTGAAGCCTTTTTAAAAATAGAGATAAGAATTTAGGCCACTCTCCTCGCCGCCCGTGCCCCGCGCGCTCCTCCGCTCCGCGCCGCTCCCCGACGACATGCTGTGCTGCGGCCTGGCCTGCGAGCGCTGCAGGTGGATCCTACCCCTGCTCCTGCTCAGCGCCATCGCCTTCGACATCATCGCGCTGTCCGGCCGCGGCTGGCTGCAGTCGAGCAACCACCTGCAGACGTCCTCGCTGTGGTGGCGGTGCTTCGACGAGGGCGGCGGCAGCGGCTCCTACGATGATGGCTGCCAGAGCCTCATGGATTACGCGTGGGGAAGAGCGGCGGCAGCCATGCTCTTCTGTGGCTTTATCATCCTCTGTATCTGCTTCATCTTGTCCTTCTTTGCCCTCTGTGGACCCCAGATGCTCGTCTTCCTCAGAGTGATTGGAGGCCTCCTGGCCCTGGCGGGTAAGACCACGCGGCAGTCAGTCTTCATTCATCCCCAGTGAGCGTCAGCAGGGTGGTGTTGGATCCCACCAGGAAGAACCATGGCAATTAGTGTTTCTGATCTATTCTGGAAACAGGTTCCCAGGAGCTGAAGAATCAGAGGAGAGATATGATTTAGGATTTTTGCTCTTATGCTTTAGACAGTATTCTGGGCTGCCCATTCATGTGACAAAGTGTGTCCTCTGTGTGTCCCTGTCTTCCTTAGGTGGCTCCATCCACTGATACATACTGAGGGACCAGGGCTGTGTCAGCCCTGAAGGTACAGTGGACTCAGAGTGGTCCCCAGTGCTGCCCTGCTGTGAGCACTGTGCTGAGGGGAACTGAGTGTCCTTGAACCATGTCACTGCTGAGTTTTGTGATCTTAGGATGCAGTGGCTCATGAAAGGGCTTTTTGCAGTGGAACAGAGAAGGGCAGTGGAGAACTTTTGTTGGGGAAATGGTGACTCAGACACAGGTGACATGAAGAAATCTAGTTATGCAGTGGGTGGGCTCCTAATGAGCCTCTATTAGTGGACTATAAGAATTAGCTATTTAGCAGCAGGAGCTATTTGAAATGTCAGGCAGGAACCTGTCAAAGGGACAAGACCTCAGCCATGTAGCCTCATCCAGAAGCAAAGCCAGGTTTTCTGGGGAGTGGGAAGACAAGGTGCTTATAGCAACAAAGTCAGGCTACAGGTTGTTTCTCCAGACACCAACCAGGCTCAGGAGCAGAGCAGAAATCCAGCTGTAGTAGCCTGGGGACAAAGCCAATGTGAGCAGACAGTCTTGGAAGCAAGTCAAAAGCCTGTGATTACAAGGGGTCTGTAAGTTCAAGCATGAGCCACCAGGAAAACCACTTTGTGTGGTGTGCCCTGCACTTATAGAAGTGGGGTTCACAGAGCCTGAGGCTGCACAAGTGAGGATCCTCAGGAAACTGACCGGGGGGGCACAGCCTGTGCTTTGTGCTACACGTTTGAAACTTTCTCTTGATTACAAACAAGGTTTGACCAAACATGGTATGCATGCTTATAATCCCAGCTACTAAGAAGACAGAGATAGGAGTGTCACGGTCCAAAGCCAACCTGGATGAAGGCATGAGATCCTATCTGAAAAATAAAGCAAAAAGGGCCGGGAGTATAACTTAAGACCCTGAGTTCAAACCCTATTACTTAAAAAAAAAAAAAAAATCCCACCAAGTTTACTCCATGCTTCTCTTGTTTCAAGCTTTGCTTTTGGAATAATATTTTGAAAGCAGAAGTTACTTGGAATAACAAAACGCATGAGGAAATTTGTTGATCGCCACCTCCACTTGTATTTCTATTTGGCTTTTCATAGTTCAAATTTACAAGACCTTATTATAGAAACGCATTTGATATCTCTTCCTTTCCTACATCTTAGAGGACTAGATGTACATGGGCTTTAATCACCATTAGAAATAACCTTTGCTGAAGAATCCTAGTAAATTTCCATGACCCAGCAAGCTGGCTGCTAAGTAGATATCCAAAAGAATTAAAAACAGGACCTTGAACACAGAAAGCCCTCGTATGTGGCAGCATTCTTCACGAAGCCAGCGGTGGAAATGGCCAAAGTAGCCAAAAGCAAATGAATGGCTGCAGAAAATATGTACCTACAGTTGAACATTATTTGCTCATAAAAATGAATGAAATGTCGATGCACGCTGAATCGAACATGATGGACATATTAATAAGCCAGTCACAGAAGGACAAATATTATATGAATTCCATTTATATGAAGTATCTATAGATGACAAACTTAAAGAGGCAGAAGTAGAATGGAAGTTACCAGAGGCTGGAAGTAGGGGAATGTTTTGTTTTGTTTTGTTTGAGACAGGGTCTTGCTATGTAGCCTGGCCCGGCCTCAAACTCATGATCCTCCTTTCTCAGGCTTCCAAGTGTGTACCAGCATGCTCAGCTAAGGAGGTTTATAAATGGACATAGAGTTTATGCATGGAAGGTGAAAAGGTTTTGGGTTTAGATAATGCATGGTCACACAACATGTGAGTGTCCTTATTGTTACTGAATTATACTCTAGGTAGTTAAAATGATAAATGTTATGTACGTATATTTTACCATAATCAAAAGTATCCTGGTGAAATTCTTTCATCCATTGCTCCCTTTTAGTATGAAAGCTGTAAGTCCTAGCCACCGCTGCCCAAGCTAACAGGGTAGCAGGGTTACTACTGTACAGAAAATTATTTCCAGCGTGCTTCAACACATGTGTCGCTGAAAGGTTCTGCCTAACGTTTTGCTCTCATTTTGTAATTTTCTATTTGTCCTCTCTTTTTAAAGTTTGATTAGTGGTATAAGAAATGAATATAGAGGAATAAAAAATCTAGGAATCTCAGTATATTTTTAGTGTTAATAATGTTTGAAAAGTCTTATTTGGTTTTTAAGATATTTCACAGCAACAGTGATTTTAAGTTATATATGTCATTGGATTAAAATCAGAAAAATAAAACACTGATATAATTTAAATTTTGTAAGAATTCATCCAAACCATTATAATAACTTCATGTATGATGAACCCAAATGGATAAATAACAATATGCAACATTGGTTACTAGGGAAATTTGAGGTCAAAGAGAGAAGGATTCCTTTTGTATCCTACACATATAATATTTTGCAGTAAAGGACAAAGTTTAATAAGTTTGCCACTTAAAAAATAAAAGAAGTCAAGAAATGTTTTAAGAACTGTACCAAGTTTGCCCTTCAAAAACTGCCAGAGAGAGGATTGTTTTAATTGAGTTGAGGAGTAGAAGCAGCAAGTCAAGATATGGAGACTTCTGTCGGCTTTCTAGCAGCAGAAAAATAAATAAAAATCAAAGAAAAGAAAAAGAAAAACAGATTAGGTTGTATTTCTAGCACTAATAGGAAAAAACAAAGATGGGAGAAAAATGGCGATGAGGACTATACACAGCCAGTTGGCCCCTCCTGTGACAACAGTGTCTTAGGATTACCGCCTCACACCCCGATCATTCTGTTCACGTGGCAGTGTGCAGAGGGGACACTGAGTTAGGAGATGAGAATGCAACACAGCATATTGACATTTGATATAGCTTTATAAAATTGTGCATTCTCATTGAAAAAAGATTACAAAAATAGATTTAATAAAGTTTTGTTTATTTTAAAGTTGAAAAAAAAAAAAAAGAATTTAAACACATTTTAAGAATCAATTAATTTTGTGTTTACAAGGATATTTAAGCACTTAGAAGCTTAATGCTTCATTCAGTTTCTCAAAAAATAAAATATATATTGGTGAAAATAACTATTTTTTTATATCTTTTATTCATATGTGCATGAAATGTTTGGGTCATTTCTCCCCCTTTCCCCCTGCCTCCTCCCTTTCCCCCACCCCCTCTCTTTCCCTCCCACTTTCTGGAATTTTCTGCCTCACTTCCAAGCAGAAACTGTTTTGCCCTTGTCTCTAATTTTTTTGAAGAAAGAGTATAAACAATAATAAGAAGGACCAAGGGTTTTTGCTAGTTGAGATGAGGATAGCTATACAGGGTGATTCCTCACATTGCTTTCATGTACATATGTCTTACATTCTAAGTTGATTCTTCTCCAACTGACCTTTTCTCTAATTCCTGGTCCCCTTCTCCTATTGGCCTCTGTCACTCTAAAGTTTCTGGATTAGTTCCTTTGCATTGAGGACACCAAATGCTATCATTTGGGGGAGGCGGTTCTTACCTACCCTCATACATCCCTTGTGTGCTCTCGTCTTATCATATGACCAAAGTCCAATCCCCTTGCTGTATTTGCCCTTGATCTAAAGTCCACAAATGAAGGAGAACATATGATTTTTGGTCTTCTGAGCCTGGCTAACATCAGGATGATGTTTCCCCGTTCCATCCATTTACCTGCAAATGATAAGATTTCATTCTTCTTTATGGCTGAGTAGAATTCCATAAAAATATGGACCATTTCATGAATTTGCATGTCATCCTTGCACAGGGGCCATGCTAATCTTCTCTGTATCATTCCAATTTTAGTATATGTGCTGCTGAAGCAAGCACTGAAAATAACTATTTAAAATTTAATGTAGACACGTTACAGACCCGGTATCAAGGTTAAGAAATTCAAAGCTTGCAAATACAAATAGTTTAAGAACTGATTTATCTGCAATTTACTTGAAATGGATCCACTAGCTTTATTTATTTGAAAATAGAACAATAAGTTATTTGCCCAAAATGTAATATAAATAGCATAAATATTAATAGCCTCAAAAATATGACAAGTAAGTACACTGTCTGCCAAACTCTATCCTGTATAAAATAATCATGATTTTCCAAGCTTTATACATATATAGCCTCTTTATGTGAATAATGCCCATGAAGAGCACTATTCAGAACTTCAAGGTTTGTGGATCATAATAGAATATAGTATGTCTTTTACTTCTGCTACTCTCTTGCATTGATGCAATTATTCATATATTCATATTATTTTGAAAATCACAATTATTTTAAAGTAGGCCATAACCTCTTCTTTGTAATCATTCAGTGAACACTCATGTTGCTTTTACTTTAAAGTATTTATTATATCTAACCCAACTACTTCCATCCATACATTTCATAGTATAGTAGAAAGAGCTCAAATTAGGAATCAAAAGATAAATTATTATGATTTTTGTTGAAATGTATCTCTAAATCTTCTAGTTTTTTGGATATTTTATAGACTTGCATTATGCTATTATTGAATGTTACACACTTCCAAATCTCATATTAAATTTATTTGTTCCTGGAACAATATTAAGAAGTGTGATCTTTGTGATGCAATTACACATGAAGCTTCTACCCTGATGGATGCATTAAATGTGTAAACAAAATGACTTAACTGTGTATGCTCTTACCCATCTAATTTCTGCTGTGAGATGATTGATGACTATTCTGTGGCTAATGTAATACCAAATTAACTTTTTTCCTATTTGCCACTCTTTCAGAAAACTCTTTTGAATTCAAATTTGAGAAACTAAAATCCAATGCCTTAACTTCTTTGAAAATCAC